TATCCTGGGCCAGTTTTCCCCCTCATGCAGCAGTGACATGAGTTAATTAAGTGCTTAATTTCAGAGACAAAGGAAAATAGCAGAAAAGGGGCTTCTATGTGAAAGATCACTATTAATCTCAAACCTCAAATTACCTAATGCTAAATAAAGTGTTTTCATTTTCTTTTTTTTTTTTTTTTTGGTTTTTTCTTGGTTTTTCTCCGGTACCGGGACCGAACTCACGACCTTGCGCTTGCCAGGCAGGTGCTTTTGCCGCTGAGCTAAATCCCCAGCCCCTTTTCTTCTCTCTTGTAACACTCGCTCCCCAGGCCAGCTAGGATACCGAACACAGCCACCATCTTTCTCCACACACAAGCGAACACTAGGTATTCTGAACACTCCTCTGCAGACTTCCCCACTCCCTCCAAAGGGCAGATTCCTACCAATTGATTTCCAGCTGTGCTTTTGGGCAGATGGGAAACCCTGGAAAGCTGGTTGAGGCACAGCAGAAGTCAAGCTGGGAAGTGCACAGCAGGTCTGCCACTTCCTGCATTTAATACCCAGGGCTGAGAGGTGTAGGACTCTGTAGTAGAGCAGTCCTAGGAGACCAAGCTAGGCCAAGCTAGTGAGATTCTCTCCCAGGGCCCAGAGCCTTTAAAACCTAGTGTCAGAGAGTAGAAGGGGGCTGGAAATGTGGCCATTAACATCCAGAGACACAGACTCACCAGTCTTGTGTGGATCTCATCTTCATGTGGCTGAGTGCAGACTGTAAGTCTCCAGAGAGATGCTGCCCCATAGGAGTCTCCTAAGCCCACCTGTGCCTGTGGTTCTTAGCCAAACAGAGAAAGCACTTTCAAGGGACCAGGAGTCCTCTCAATGGGAAGAATGGAACAAGTCCGAAGAACAGGGAGAAACTCCCTGCAGACAGACTTGAAACCCTCTGGCTGACTATGCATGACAAATGCACACGTGAGATGTCACAGGGACAAACAGTGAACCCACCAGGAGTAAGAGTACAGCTGAAGGACCATAAATGAAGTAGTAAGGCCTGTGGGTACAGAATGAATCAGCTCTAAATTTAACCATGCAGGGTTAACAAGTTAGGGAAAGATGAAGTCCCTGCATTTCTCCCTCAAAAGACTGGGTGGGACTGGCAAGGACATAAGCTAGGGTCAAGTAAGGGAAGCAGGGCTTCTACATTGAGAGCCAAAGAGGGGAACCCTACAGAGAGGTGTCTACACATTTCCATGTGTCAGTCACCAGGCTGGCAGAACAGAGGACTCCAGGTAAGCGCCCACAGGAACTAAGGGTGCCCAGATCCTCCTGAGAGATGTCTGGAGCTGTGAGGGAGGGGCCGGTGCCGGGAGGCAAAGTGACCCTGTGCAGGAACCTGTGGAGGAAGGAATATGTGCCCTCACGTTGCTGGTCTGTCCATCAGCCTGTGGCCCCAGAGGGACAGGAGGTCAAGGTTAGGTCAGAGAGCTTCTCCCAAATTCGGCAAAAGACGTATTGTCCAGAGCATAGAACATGCAGAAGATACTCCCTTCAGAGAAAGAGGCTCCTCTGCCTACGTGTGGCTCAGACATAAGATCCTAGGCACCGACAGAAACCGAGGGAAGCATCACCCAAAAGGGGGAGCTGGGAAAGGAAGCTGGGGAGGAAGCTGGAGAGCAAAGCTCGAAGTTCTGCAGGGACTGAGCAGAGGCCTGGAGAAAGCTCCCTAGCAGCTAAGGGTGGCCATGCAGCGGCACCCTTCTCAGGTGGAGCTCGGCACCTGGATGTGACTTCAAGGTCCAGTGTAGGTGATGCAGAGGGCAGACGGTCTGTGCGGGTAGCGTTTCTAGGACAAGGAGGTTACAGATGTCTCCCTCCACGTTCCCTGCTTTGGACTTGTGCCTTCAAATATTCCTCACGGCTGAGTGCCTGCCTACCAGCCGGAAGGGGGCGCTGGTGAGAGCAGACCCAATGTACGAAGGGGGGCAGCTTCCGGGAGGGGCAACTCCCGGGAGAAGGTTCCAGAAGGGGCCGAACCATCCTTCCCGAAGATTCCACAACATAGTGTACGGACTGGAGACCCTCAGGAAGGTTCCAAAAGGGCTGATGGCTACTCCTGAGGGAAAATTCCACAAGGTAGGCTCGAGGAACTCTAGCAAAACAGTTCCACAAGGTGGAGACAGGCGATCCCCCGGGGAAGGTTCGAGAATGTAGGACCGGCAAAGTGGTCCTTAGCAGCCCAGGACCGGGACGGGGCTGCCTGCTCCCTCTGCAGTGTTTGGTTTGAGCTGTGCAGCCCAAGGGTTCCTGGTTATTGCAGGGGACAAGCTGCTCGTTGGGGGTGTCCCTCAGTTCATGGCTCCCCACTTTGGTCCTGGGAACACTCTTCATTCTGGAGACCCCTCATCATGTAGACTTTCTTTATCCTGTGAACCCTGGGTCCTATGGGACCCCCGCCCTTGTTACAGACAGCCCTGGTGCTGTAACACCCCCATCCTCAACCTATCGACCTCTCTCTTCTCTGAGACCTGTCAAGTCCGGGGGAATCCTCATCCCAAATCCTGCCAAGGTTTCCACTTTTCCCGTGACCCTTGAGCCTCTCACCCTAATCCTCTGGCCCAGATCACAGCACTTTGTGCTGCTATTCCATACCCTTAGGGTCCAAGGACATCGCACCCAACCCCATCCCGCCTCCCTCCTCATCCCCCATCCTGGGTACCTGCTCCAACACACACATTAGCCTCCTCACTACCCAGGTCCAACCCCACCCCCACCCCGGTCCGTGATCTCCCAAGCTTGGGGGTCTTAGCAGCTGCCTTAGCAGCACCTTCCTGGCACGACATGTCATTTTCTGACTGTTTTGATGTGGGAACTGGAAACACTACATTTCTCACTTCTGCTCTATACTTGAGTTGTGCCTTGGAGGTCCCTCCTTTTCCTTTCAGGTCCCTTCAGACTGCTTATGCCGTCTTTCAGTCTGTCCGTTTTTATCACCACTCCATCTAAAATAGTTGTCATTTCTATCGAGAATCTTCTGGAGGGCCACCTATTATTTGGAAGTGTCTCTTAAATTATGGTCCTGATGATTTTCTCCTGTCTAGTTTGTTTCCCTTTGCTGAGTGATATCTGGTATAAGATCCCTCTAGTGAGAAAATGTACTCTTGAGTTTCAAAATTTGCTTTCTGCTCTGAAACAACCAGCCTCTTACTTTCTTTTTTTTTTTTTT